TCGCGTTCGCCCCCCCCCGCTGCCAGCGCGTGGGGCGGCGCGTGGGCAGCAGGGTGGGGATCACAGTCAGTCCTAGAATGATCTCCCAGTCCTCACGAGCGCGTAGGATTTCGCGGATCTTAATTCGGATAACGTTTGAACCCCGAACGGATCTCGCCTAGTATGCGATTTCCGGGTTCTATACGTTTGAACCGTTGGATCGTAGTCAATTTCAAGTATGTTGATCTAGGTATTTCCAGGATCGTATAATATTTGACGGATCGTAAAACGGAGTCCCAGATACTCCAGAAATGTCAGCCCTAGAGTATGTTTTACGGATAATTAAACCAGTTACAAAATAACGAACTAGTTGCAGGTCAAGAACAGAGGAAAGAACTACGTGTGGCTTGATCCCTCAGTAAGGGTACGTAGGCAGCCTACCGTTACCAGGCGCAGCCACGAGTTAGGGCCTTAGGGTTTGTGTTATTGTTTTTCAGGGCCTTTTGATCATTTACGACCCACAGTTACAAGATGTCAGTTTTAAACAGGATTCGGCCCGAATTTCAAAGTGGAAATTGGGTCGGGTCGTTTCACTAAGAGTGTTTGTTTTAAGTCAATGGCTGTAGAGGAATGACGTGAAGAAAGGGTGGGGGAATAACCTGAAGAAAGGTATGAGGAAGTTTCGCGGGAGGTCATATATCAGCCGAAAATTTTGACTATGAATTTGTTGGTGAATCAGCCTGCACATGGATATACAGGAATTTGTTGTCCATGGAATTTGGGTGTAGGGGATCCCCTAGGCCAGGCCTCACAAAAAAAAAAAATCTTTGCCAATGCATTTTGCATTTACTTCCTTTGCTACTTGAAAACTTGGAATCTCGTTTTGTCATATGGCTTTCTTTTAAATTATTTTTGTCCTTGTGGGCATTTGCTCTCTATCATTTTGGAACAAGACCGTGACAACAAAACAATATGTGGGACTATCTAGCTCATACTAATTCTTCATATATAAAGCAAGATTAGCAAATTACAAAGAGACTAATGCTACCACTTTATCTGACCTCATGTATGTGCCAGCTGAAGCTGATCTATTGTACATGCCACATCTATTAAAGAAAGGCAATTGATAAAATGAAATGGCAATTAATTATAAACAATTAATATCTATATAAGTAGAAATATTATTACATATTTAGTTAGTTCATTTGAGGAGGTACAAGTTACAACATAATGAAATCCAAGATGACAAATAAATAAGTCTATGTAATTGTTGGACCTTATTACAGAACACACAGACAAATATTTGAAGCAAACTCTGTGACTTGCATCTTGTTTGTTGAAGCGTGGTAAATAACTCTAATTCATGGTGTCCCGGAATGCTCCTCCTCGGGTTTCACAGTAAAGCGGGCAATGACCATGTTCTTCAAATACTCATCCAGTTTTTCAAAGGCGTGAACAACTCCTGCAACTGCACTTGTAAACAATGTTTTGACGTATGGGTATGAGTAAACAGCTACAAAGGTCACAAACCAAAAGACCCAGAAGAGGAGGGCAGCTAGCCCTAAAGCCGGAATAAGGATCATCAATTCCAAAATCAAGGCAAGAGCTCCAAAAAGGAGGCTAATCTTGCTCATGAATTTTTCCAAACCTAAATCAAGGTGAGCTTGGTGTATATATGCACCGCCAATTAATGACCCTCCATAAACGACTAGAGCAACAATAAGTATCACAACAGTTTGGTGGTGTGTGTCAAATAGAGATGTCGTTCCAGCTCCCTGCTTAAGTTGAAGGAGCACACCTAGCATGGTGATGAGAGAAAATATATATTTGTGCGATGCCTTTGTAGAACTTTCTTTGCTTGTGCTGTAATAATTAATGAGAAAGTTTAAATGGTATTGCAATAAAGGGTCGTATATGTGTGTGTATGTATGTAATCTTATAATTAATAAAAGGAAAACTATGAATAGTATATTTGTGAGAATATATAAATAACAGATGGCTACAAATAATTAAGCCCAAGATAACACTCGCTGCTATTTTCTTCAACGGTAGTTAATGACGGATGTAGAACTTAAGTGCTCTTAAGTAGTTAAAAAATCCAATTGTATATTAGTTAACAACAGATTAAGAGCTGAGTTCTTAAATTAGCCTCATTAACTGCTATGTAATGAGCTCGTTCTCTGGCTTACTCCAATTTGTCCGGATATGTTGATTAGTTTATATATAACAGCATGTAAGTGTGTCTTTCATTTCTGGCTGCCCATTGGCCCCATGCCGTTCACTCCTCCAGGGAATGTGAGGAGATCAAGACACTATGAGGGGTGACTGATGAGACCATGGGCATGGGGCAAGTGAGCAGAGAAAATTAAACATTTACCAGGAGAGAATCAGTTGTATTAACAAGAAACTAATTAAACTAAAGAAAGGCAAAGTAGCATTTACACTTACGCCTCTGAAGGCAGAGGATCGCTAACAGGAATTCTTGCTTCATGATTCATCCTGTGCCGCGCAATTGGACAAAGCTCGCCTTGTAGTTATACCTACAGTATATAAAAAAAGAAACAGAATTGAAGCGTCACATATTCTATAAACACTACTAGAGTTATTGGATCTCTTTCGGGGTCTTAGAACAACTTGGCTGCGGTGGCTGTCGTGCAAATCAGCATTTCGTTCACCAAATAATGAAACGGCACATTTTGTTTACCAAAAAAAGAAAAAGAAACAACTAGTAGAGCCATATGCATGGGATCTCTTTCTGGGTCTTAGAACAGCTTGGTTGCGGTGACAGACACGACAACCACTGTGAACGTTTACGCAAGCTACAACAACAGAAAAATGAAAGCAAAAAAGTGCACTCACTTACTCTTGTAAACGTTGTATAGAATAGAATGCCCTTCCCTTCGTACGTACCAGAAATGTAAAATTCAGAGCAAGTGTTTGATGAGGAAGAGCTTGTACTTATGGTCGATTTATGCACTTTGATGAGGAAGGACGAAATTCATAGACCACAGGAAAGAACCAGCAAGCAAAGCTTATATGGACCTTTTGTGCTTGATTGTGACATATTGCAGTCAGCAAGCAAAGCTTATATGGACCTTTTGTGCTTGTGATTGTGGCCTTTATTATTCCATTATGAAATTGTGACTGACTGCAGTCAGCAAGCAAAGCTTATATGGACCTTTGTGCTTGTGCTTGAGATTGTGACATACTGCAGTCATCAAACAAACCTTATATGGACCTTTTGTGCCTGAGATTGCGGTCTTTATTATTCCATTATGAGATTGTGACTGACTGCAGTCAGCAAGCAAAGGTTATATGGACCTTTGTGCTTCCTCCCCCTTCCCTTACCACTCTTACAGGCATTTCTCTGAGTCAAACTTGACTGCCAACTGCCTCCAGTTTCTCTTATCAACCCTTCAATTAATTGAAAATCCTCGGTCACCTCATTTCTTGACAGAGAAACAAGACTGGGAAGTACATCTCTCTGGAAATCCTTTCATTGTCTGCCCCTCCTCGCCTGACCTCTTCGTGGCCATTTAGGAAGCGGCACTTCTTCTTTTGGGTTCTCTTGATTTGGAGGCACATAGCAGTACTTCTTGTTGAAATGTAAGTAGTGAGCTGATAGGAAATGGAATTAAGCCTGGTCAGCTAATGGTGTATTCTCTCAGTCAATAAAAATGACTGGTGTTAGGCTTTAGTAGTAAAAGGTTTATAAGCCACGTGTAATGTTTTTATTAAGCAGTTATAGATGAAGGGCTGAGATACAAAGTGATGTAATTGTATCCAGCTAGACATATAGCTCACAGATAGCGTGCTCATTTAGTAAGACAGAACAGTGCAATAGGAAAATACATACGAATTGATTCATTCTCTGCTCTCTCTTATCTCTGCATTCTTTCTTCTCTCTCAACCTATTCAAAACTCTAACACTTCTCTGCCTTGGTTTCCACCAAATTCAATGTCAGGTGCTCAAAGAAATCCATCACATCATCTTCATCACAGGCAGTCCCCTTGACTTCTGCCACTTTATCATTGTCAATATTTCCTTCATGTGAAGAAATTAATTCTGCAAACCAAAGAAGGGAGTCATTTTCTGAAGCATCTGTTTTGTGACAAGTGGCACTTTATTGAAGATGATGTGCAGCATTGTTCCGCATATCATGACCTCGGGATGATGAGATGGCAACTAGAGCCTCAGCTGCAACTCTGAGAAGGCCCTCATGAGGTAAGTCAAGAGGTTCCTTACATTCGCTTTGCATAGAATCTTCCCCATCTATATCTGATTCAATTATCACTGGTGCCTCCAAATCAATCACAGTTCCAGTTCTCATAATTGGAGAGGCGGCATTCATTTCAGTTTCTTCTTCAGTAAAACATCTATTTAAATCTATTTGATGTCTCGAATCAGCATTCGCATTAAACAATCTCGTTTCTAGAACCGGACCATCTGCTTTCAGTTGCACTGTACACATGTGTGACACAGGATCCTGAACCACATTATTTTTAGCTAATTCAACTCTAACGGTGTAGCCATTATCAACTGCAGAAGCAAGACAACCAGATTTTGAGGATGAACAAGGATAAGGAAAAGAAACCTTGTCAAACATGGGAAGAGCAAAAGTCTTCCTAGTCTTCATCCAATCGCCTATTTCAACTCTCCAATTCTCAGCATCATGGCCGCGCATTAACGATGAGCAATCCTGAACAGGGCTTTGATTGGGGCCCTTTCTTAAATCAGTTCGGTTTGCAAAATTGCGGTTGCTATCTCCATTTGAGAAGGCAAGGCTGATTGAGGGGTGAGAAGCCTGTAGTTCAATGGTATCCGATTTTGCACGAAAGCAGATACATTTTGGTGCGACACTTCAGCTTTTAGACTGGGAGTTGATGGTATCGAATTACAATCTACAAGCAATCTGTCCCTGATAACTTCAGCGCTTTGCTGCAACATGATCGAAGCCTTATCAGATTGTGATGTATTCAAGGAAATGTTTCCTTGAGCTGATATTAAGTTCTGGCTCAAGCTAATTGGAGGTTTTGTCCAATTAGGATATGACTCGGAAATGGTCACATCAGACTGCAAAGGCTTAGCAGATGAATTGATATCTCTTTCAAAAATTTCTATACCAAAAATTGTCCTCTATCTTTGCTTCTCCATTTTATTCTGATCAGACGGGAAAAACTTAGCATGCTCAGAGACTATCCTAGCTTCAGTTTCTGATGTTTCACATGGCTTATTAAAGTCTTGAAGATCAAACCTTCCACCAGAAAAACTTCTTGTTTGTTCTGAAATAAACCAAACCATTTGTAAGATTTTTATACTCTTGTGCTTTATTAGCAGTAAAGTAAACAATGGAGGAAACATGCTCAACTAGTCTTGGTGATATTGTTTATTTAGTTAAACCAATTATGAAATAACCTTAGAGCGTTTCTTCTGTAATGATGAATCTTAAAGACACAAGACATTTCAGAAATAAAAAAGAAGTTAGATAACTAGTTCCTTACCAGCCTTGAAAGCATTTATTGACCACTCTTTTTGGTGCCTTTCGTTCTTTGAATGCAGATTACTAACTCTTCCATCCTTCCCCATTTGTGGGTTTTCAGGGAATTTCTTTGCAAAAGGCCAGACACCTTTGTAGGCATTTGCAGATAAAACCTGCCTTTCTATCTCCTCTTTGGAGGTAAAGTCATTGCCAAACTTAAAGACAGAAGTTGAAGCAGACACTTTGTCTATCTGAATAGGTTCATTCAGATCAGTCAAACCACTGCTTCTAACCATTGTTATAGCCGGATGTTTCACCAATGTGATTAGATAAAATATCATCTCTTGCCTGAGTTACCTCATTTTTTCTGTACCTGACCCCATGAAAACTCCTGGTTTTTTCTGTACCTGAAATAAACCAAAGTGAAACATGATTAACAAAAAGAGTTGAAAGCAAAAATGTGCGCTTGCTCTTCTCGACGCCTCAGGGACGGACCGTCGCTATGACTAACCTGGGCTATAGCCCAGGCAAATTAGTTGTCAAAACCACTCTTGTATAAACACATTCTCTGTAATTTGTAAATATCTTTACACAATTAATTAGTTAACTACTTTCTGCTTATGAGAATTTTTCTCAGCTCCCAAACACTGAGCTGAGGGATTAATGATAAAAGGAAAATATATATTTTGAATTTTGGGCCGTGTGGGTGCTTTTGTACTGTTCTAGATCCACTGGACCCAAGAAGCCGTACGAGCAGCAGTAGGACTAGCCCATTCTCATTTGGGCCCTGGACTCTTCCGTCAAGATGAGGCCCTTCAATCTCAGGATCAGCTCCTTGAATTTGTGTGCACTTCTTTTGTCTGTTTTCGATCTGCCTGTTTTTTCAGTCGCCTCCAGGCGCACACACACTCTCTCTCTCTCTCTCTCTCATCTCGTGGCAAAATTTATATATACGTGGCAATTAAGTAGAAGAAAGGCAATTGATAAAGAGAATGAAATTGTAATTTATTATAGGATTAACTACACTTTAGTCCCTGGAGGTTTAGTGTTAGTATCAAAATGGGCCCCGAGGTTTCATTTTAATCAGTTTTGTACCCAACATTTCGAAATATTACTAATTTACACCAGCCGTTACATTGACCGTCAAAGTCAGATGTTAATTGCTGACGTGGCAGTCGTGGGACTCACCTCATAATCAAACAGTAGTTAGAAAGAGACGAAATGAAGGGCAATTTCGGAAAAAATAATAAAAAACTCTTTAAAAATATTATTAAATTATATTTTTAAAAACAAAAAAAAAATTCCCTACTTTCTCTCTCTCCTCCTATCTCCCTCCCTCTCTCTGCCCAGAACTTGAAAACCCAACTCACATCTTCGACCCATCTCCGACCACCTCCCCACCCAACCACCATTGAAGCCATACAAACCCCACCCAAATATCCGCCCCTCCCCGACTCACTATCTCATTCTCTCCCCTTCTCCTCCTGTTATTTTCATAAAAGAACAAGATAAATTAGCACAAGAATGAGATGAATTTAAAACTGTGATATATGAAAGTATATATATGTTCTTACATTTGGAGACTGCAATTGATGATTTCTGGTCAAATCCAGTAATGAGGGTGAGCATTGGGATGAAAAAGCCACCCCCACCAACACCTCCCACACTCCCAAATGCTGCTCCAACAAATGCAATCATCGTACCCACCACGATTTTCCAGCCAAATCTGATATCCTGTATATGATCACCACTACAAAGTTTGAACTATTTGGAAGCACCATTTAAGACCTGCTATTCAGTTTTACCTACTAAAATGGACTGAAAAAATATGAGTTTTTGTTAAGGTATATATAATAGGGACAGGGAGGTAGAAGATTTACCAAAAAACAGTTTTTACATTCCAAATCGATCATCCTTGGGCAAGGCACATTTTCTCAGCAGCCTAACATGCATTTAGGCAACAAACCCAACTAAGGTAATACAAAATTGGACTTACAGGCCACACATGCTTATAACCCAAGTGAGATTGAACCTCTTTTCCAGTAATATTCTGGCTTGAAGGTTGTGAGCCCAACATTTCTTCATGTGCTGAAACTGTTGCAGATGATAATGCTAATAAAACCAGAAAACCAACTCCAAGAGCTCCAATCTTACCAGGCATTTATTCAGAATTTCCTCCTAAACAATGCAGTATAGCCGAAAAACTATATATATATATATATGCCAACGGCCTTGAAGAACGCCGTAGTTGCGTTAAGCGATTACGGGCACGATGAAACCCAACAGACCCAAGAGCTCGAAATCCTCCAAAGCCACAATCGGCCACTGGACCCCACCACTAAGCCACCTCCTCCCCCGCCGCCTCACCTCGAGAATCTCAACCTTCCACCGCCTCTGCTGCCTCTACCCACTTTCACTCCGAGTCCTATCAAGAGGGCCACCAGCTTGCAGGCGATGAGCGCTAAGGCTCGAAAAATTGGGGGGCGGAGAGTTGGGTCGACCATTGCTGAAGAAGATGAGGAGGAAGAGGACCATGAAAATGATGATGAAGATCAGAGTCATAAAGGGTTTCAGAGGGGATCGAGAAATGGGGCTTCGGAAACGACGTTGTCGCCACCGAGGAAGCCGGAGATGAAGCCGGTGCCTCCAATGCCTGAGTCTGAGGGCATGGCTTAGGACTACTTTCTGGGCAGAGCGAGGGAGGGAGATAGGAGGAGAGAGAGAGAGAGAGAGAGAGAGAGAGAGAGAAAGTAGAGATTTTTTATTTATTTTTTGTTTTTAATAATATTTTTAAAGAGTTTATTATTATTTTCCGAAATTGCCCTTCATTTCGTCTCTTTCTAAATACTGTTTGGTTTTGAGGTGGGTCCCACGACTGCCACGTTAGCAGTTAACGTCTGACTTTGACGGTCAATGTAACGGCTGACTTTGACGGTCAATGTAACGGCTGGTGTAAATTGGTAATATTTCGAAATATTAGGTACGAAATTGATTAAAATGAAACCTTGGGGCCTATTTTGATACTGACACTAAACCTCCAAGGACTAAAGTGTAGTTAATCCTTTATTATAAAATAATAAGTAGAATAATTACATATACAATTATTTCACTTCACTTGAGCTACAAATACAGTACAACAAAATCGAATCAAACAAGTATACATGAGAAAGCCCATTCTAAGCACAATTTGGGCCACCCAAAAAAATGAGGTTAGGGTGAACTAGTTTGGTCCTCTGAGTTCATTGTAAAGCAGCGACCAATGATCATGTTCATGTTCTTCAAATACTCTTTCAATTTTTCAAAGGCCTCAACAACTCCTGCAACTGCACTTTCATACAATGTTTTGAGGTACATGAACAAGTAGTTAGCTGCAAAGCTCGCAAACCAAACGATCCAGATGCAGAAGAAGGATAACCCTAAAACCGGTACAAGGATCACCAATTCCAAAACCAAGGCAAGAGCTCTAAAAGGAAGGCTAATTTTGTCCATCAATTTTGCCATATCTGAATTGGGGTGAGCTTGTCTTATATATGTAGGGCCAATTAATGAACTGCGATAAACGATTAAAGCAACCACAAGGCTCGCAAGAGTGAGGTAGTCTGTGTCAAATACTCCTTGTTTCAAATGGAGGAGCCCTGCTAGCATGGTGATGAAAGAAAATATATGTTCCTGCAATTCCCTTGTAGAACGTTCTTTGCTTGTGCTGCTGTTACAATGAATTAATGACAAAATGTTATCAGCATTGCAAACTAATAAGAAAAACTATGATCTACAACTTAAACACTTACAACAGATCAAGAGCAGAGTTTTTAAACTAGTCACATTCCCATAAACTGCTCTGCTTATTATAGCGATATGTCCGGGGTATGGATGTATTTGTATGTATATGTTCTCCTTAAACGAAGGCAAAAAGAGCTTAATTTGTACAGATACCGGATGCAACTAACTTGGGGTAATTTTTCAATTACTAGAGTTTAAGAAAAAGAAGAAGCATTCAAATTAGTTGGGCCAATTGTTTAATGAAGTCTAATATAATTATGAATGGATCTTCATTAAATCCAAATGGTTCGTTTACTTTGGGTCAAGTTATTTGGCTAACCATAAGTGCTGGGCAAGTATGGTTTTTACAAAAAAAAGACCAAAAAAAGTCAATTTCAGATCGATTCTGATCCTGGTTCATACCTCGAAAAAATATGTTCAACCCAACCAGATTATTTATTTATAAGCCTAATCCAAGTCATACTAGGTGAGCTCAAGTAATACCCATATCATTTAGCCCAATAAATACTCAAATGTTTTGGGCTATTTTTATCAAACTAAATGATGACTCTAACCCTTTTTTTTTTTTTTT